AGGGCCTGAAGAGAGAGACCCCCCTCTCAAAATGCAATGATGTGTCGCACTTACCCAAAAAATGTTGCTTGTTTTTTTACACCCACATAACGAAAGTGACCTGTATATGAGAATATACTTCGTTATACATTTCTTGAACAAGTGCCCTAATATCATTGTATCTGAGAGGTCATTCAAATTCATCAAACCTTCTAAAAATGTAAAATAAAAACAACATATTTATACGTACAAGGTAGCGATGGCGCCTCCCATATGACGCTGAGGCTCCAATGAGAACGACACTTTCTATTGCAACAAAATTTTGTTTTATTTTGGCTATTGTAGGCTAATTTAGAGCATTTTTAAAAAATATAGAGAGTTCTACTGAGTTTATTAGAGAAGTATATGACTAAAGTTTTTGACATATTCGACATATTCTAAAAATGAAGAACAATTTTTAAATTTCAATAAAATCTACCTAAACTGGAATTTTACTAGCATTATTAATATGTAGTTAAAATAACTACTATACTTTAAATCAAATTAAAACTTGACCCAAAGAGGTACACAGGTCAGACAAAATTAATATTGGACATTGGTCAACTTTAAAAGCATTAATATACTCTTTTATTTTAATTGGAACACCCAGTAAATTAATCTAATATTCAATCGGGAATTCATGTCTCTTCAAAATACTATTAGGATGCTTACACATCAAACTAAGATTTTTCTAGATATTTTGAATTTCATGATTTAGTGTCAGTAGATCTTTATTACTTGATTAAATCTAGGTGGCTGTGATGTGTCTGAAAAATGGAAACATATCCTACATCAGAAAGAATTGATATGAATCTATTAGTTGGTGACAGCAGTGTGCATTTACCAATTAATAGAATACTAAGTACTTAACTGCCCCATATTTATTTAGTCTAGGCTTTTTTTAGGAGATATGTTAAAGATAGTGTTTACAAAACTCGAACAAATATTGTCAACAAGATGAGAAAAATTATTGTGGCTGCTTTTCGAAATAAATCTCCACATATGCCGTTTTAAAACGAAAAGATCTGTTGTGAAAGGGAATAATTTTATGCAGTGAATAGGAAAGGAAGCATTTTATCAAATAACAAAGATCTCTGACGCAAAAACATCAAAAAATAAAATATCTAGGAAAATATTTATCTAAGGGGAAGGCAACCGTAAAAGTACTTTGATGATATATAAATTTTCCATTGAATATCAAAACAATAAACTGGGTATTTCCATTAAAATAAAGGAGTAACTTGCTTATTAAAGTGACCAATATTCAGTATTAATTAGATTTGTCTCACCGTGTATAGCTTTTCGGGTAAAATTTTAATTTATTTTATCATACAACGGTTATTTTAACTAAATGTCAGGCTATACAGGGTAAATTACAATTTAGGTAGCTGTTTGAAATTTAAAATTTGTTCTTCGTTTTAACGAAATGTAAAGTATGTCATAATCAAAGAGTTAAAGTCATAATCCTTACATTTTAGTCGTATACTTCTCTAATGAAACTTACCTTAATTTTTTTCCTAGAATACGAAAATCAATTAATATATAGGTCGATCTTGTTCCATCACAAAAAAAAACAACTTTGATGCAAACCTATTTTTGGGACACCATAAAATTCTTTATACAGGGTGAGTTTCCTACGATGTTCTCTGTGGGTATCTCGGAAACTACTGGAGATAGAGAGTCGGTTAAATGGGGAAAGAATTGCAGTTTTGTGGGGTCATAAATATTCGCCTTTCAGATTTTTGAAAAAGTTCATGGCTTACTAGATATTTCGAAAAAAACAAATTTCGGCTATTTTAAAAATTGTCTCTAATTCCATTATAAGCTATTTTAGACAAAAAGTTTTCAGATAAAAGTTGTAGATAATCACATCCTTAATGAGACTGTGTCCTCCGTTTTTTTCTAAAGCCTGTCATTTTTGATATATGACACATACATATGTTTTTTTAAATGGAAACCATAGTTGGCCATGACTTCATAAAAAGCGCCATTTTTTAAGCTTTTTAGCGATATAAGCTATAATAAGTTTTCTTCGAAAAATTACTGAGTTATAGTCAATTTTTATCATTTTTAAACAATTCCACTTAGTTAGCCATGGAAACAAGTTTAATCGTCTTTGCTCATTTATGAGAGCAAAGACGATTAAACTTGTTTCTTCACTTAAACTTTTGTGAAGCTGTTACATCCAATCTTTGTAAATTAAAATAAACAAAAATTGTAAATATGAATTTTTCAAATGAAGAAAAGCGTGTAGGTTTATTGGTTCAACATTTCTTGGCCATACATTTTCGAGGATACGTTGACTGGTGCAGGTTACGTTTTTTAGAGAACGGTTTTCAAGACATTTTAGAAAATTTAAATTTAGTTATAGCCAATTCTTATCTTTCGTGACTAATTTCACTAAGATTGCATGGTATTCTTATTCTGTTATGATTTAAAACTTCTGCAATTCAAAAAGTCAATTCTGCAAAAACTGCAATTCTTTCCCCATTTAACCAACTCTCTATCTCCAATAGTTTCCGAGATATCCATAGAGAACATCGTAGGAAACTCACCCTTTATATAAAAAAATGCTCTAAGCTAACCTACATATGCTCCCAAAATTTATTTCGATATAAACTACCGTTCTCCTTGGAACCTCCATGTCGTATGAGGGGCGCCACCCCAATTAATAATTAATATTATTAACTTATTAAAGAATTATTAAAAAATAAAGCTGGTGATGGTTTCGGAACAAGCAAAACGCTATTTTTCACGTCACCAACAGATGAAGCTATGAAAGTTTATTTAACGATGTCTTTATAACTTTGTTCTAATTACAGTTGAGGGTTGGAACCTTTGGTGTTACACAGCAAAATAAAAACACTAAATCACCACAATACACCAAAACACTTTTACTTTTACACTGGACGCGCGTTTCATTAATCATATTAGCATCATCAGCAGATGATTATAAACTAAAGTACAATCTACAAGTTGAGTGTTTATATACTCGCTCAATGGGCACCGAGTGGGCGTGGTAAAATCTAGCCAACCGAGTCAGAGCCCACTGAGCGTAACAGTTAGATTTCCGCCACTAGAGTAGTAGGAACAAAGAACTTGAAGGAATTGGACCGTTGTCTCTGTTCATACTATCATTACATTTATTAATTCTGATGCTTTCATATGCATCTAATTGCCTGTAATTTGAGACTTGTTTAATTAATTTTAAATTATTAAGATCTATACAATGTTCTTTATCAACAATATGTTCGGCAACGGAAGATTTATCCGGTCTACCATATCTTATCTGAGCTAAATGTTCTTTAAATCTAGTTAATATTGATCTTCTAGTTTGCCCAACATATTTCTGATTACAATCTTTACAAGAAATTTCATAAATACCCGACCTTTCCAGTGGAGGTGTTTTATCCTTTGGATTACCTAATAATTGTTGTAATTTATTATTAGCACTATACACAAGTTTATAATTGACATTCTTAAAAATTACTTTTAGACCACGGGATAACTCTCTATCAAACGCTATCGAAAAATATTTAGACGTATCTTTCTCCACTTGAAAAGTCGAATTTTCTGAAATCATTAACCTATACCTACGTTGTCTAATTAATTTATCAACTAGTGAAGGAGAATATCGATTACACTGAAATAGAAAGAGATTACATTAGGAATGTAGCTGAGTGAAATGGATATTCTCCTTCACTAGTTGATAAATTAATTAGAAAACGTAGGTATAGGTTAATGATTACAAACAAAGAATATACCTAACTAGAAAAAGAATGGACTCTGCCATACTGAAAAATGGTCCTACAGAAGTGGCGCCATCTATTGAGTAGGGCTTGTTTTAAATGGATCGAAGCGCGGGCTTTTTAAATGAGCGTATTTATTGAATTTTGCTCTAAAATAATTAAATTTGATTATTAAATCTTATTTTTTACACAAATTCACCAATACTAATAACAAGTATCGTTGTGATGTGTAAAAAATAACATTTAACAGTATAATTTTTACAATTATTAAATAAAATTAATGCCAAACATGCGAAATATTATTTATTATGTAAAGTTTTTATTTATAAGTCAAATATTTCAACATCGTTTATTATAATAAAACAAGACCAACGTAATACGCCCAAAGTTTTGTAAATGGAGTAAATATAAATAGGTACTTAAATGATGGCAAAAATAAAAGACTTACATTATAATTTTAGCGTCACAAACAAAAGGAATTGTCTACTTAAAACACATATAAGAAATTATAGTTTGAAAAACGTTTTGATAATCATTTATTTGATAATATTATGATTGGCGCTATGACAACGACAATATTTTTTGAGAATTTGACAATAATATGACAATGACCGTTGGAAACTATGGAAACTACAAAAAAATTCTGATTTAACGCCATCTGGCAAAAACTAGTAGCAACTTCTTAACCTAAAAATTAATTGCACTACCACCTAGTGGCTAGGGCTGGAACTATTTTATTTGAGATTTCCGTTGAAACGGTGGAACCGCTTTTGCTATTTCACTTTCCCGCCCCTGATTACAAATACAGTTTAACATTGACAAAATTATAAGTTGACAATTTCAGGTAGGTTGGCATTTACCTGGTTTTGCATTATTACATGTTCAGTTTTAATGTAAAAATAAATGCAGTTTTTCTTAACTTAGTTAAAAACGGTTTTAGTTATTATTATTAGTTAAAAACCTTTTTTTCATATTGATGTGTTTTCAGCATACGCAGACCCTTAAAAAACCTATGTACGACTTCGCTGTAAAATTAAATGAATAGGGGAGCCAATATTTGGACAGTACAAAATTTGCAGATTTCTTATGCTTTCAACGTCGATACATCACCCAGTATACCTATAAATGAAGTACGAAATTATGAATTATAAATGTAAATTGGTGCATTCAAAACATATCAAATTTACACATAAATAACCGCATTATTCATTCTTTAATTTAAGCATTCTTTAAAGTACATACTATTAAAAGAGGATTTGAAAAATATTTTAGTACTGATAGTGTTTCCCAAAATGACAGTGGTATGTACTAAGTAATATTTTGTTTAATAGACAGTAACAGTATAATAATAATTTATTTGCGAAACCACTGATAATATCAATTAAAAATACAGGGTGTTCCAAAAAACATGTGTCATCTCTGGTGAGAAGATTCCTCTTGTAAAAATAAGATTTATATTTCATATCAACAGAGGTCCGATTCTGTCCGCTTTGTTCGTAACTTTTTTGTAAAGTTTTTATTTTTTTTTCGATTTATTATAATTTTCCCCTAGTGCTTTTAGCGATTCGAGTAAAATTCGGTTTTTAAATTTAAGGGTAGGAGTTACTATAAGTGCGATATATTTTAATGTTAAAAATTGGGACGTGATGGACGTGCATATAAGTTATCAGTAGAATATTTAAAAAAAATTCCCATACTAAGATATAAGTTTTGTTTAAAATATATTTCCGTTGTTTCCGTACATAAAAGTGAAAACGCGCTTTGCTAGCTGTTTTGTTTCTGAGTTATAATTTTTTAAACAATATTTCATATTTTTTTATCTCAAAAACTGCGACTTTGACTGATTTTGATGTTATTACAAAGTTTGTTGTAAATATTATTCCTCATCTTAAATTGAAAACCGCGTTTCGCTAGCTACTGTAATTTTGGAGTTACGGTTTTTTTAAATTTTTAACCCTCTCCCATGGAACACCCTATATATTATCATTTTTTCTGATAGATTTTACAAAACTCTTCCACTTTTATTACGTATGTCATATACCTATTTTTAATAGTTTGCGATTTAGTTCCATTTTTTCTATTTTTATCCATATTTTTAATACAATTACCCTATAAAATCATAGTTGCCATGAGAAAACAAAACTATTTATTATTTAAGTTTAACAAGTAGCTTCATAATTAGTTACAATTGCTGGTATTAGTTAAAATTAATTAACTTTACTCAAATAAACTAAATCGCAGTAGTGAATTTCTTGGTGTATTTCTATATTATGAAAGATAATACTTGGGATTTTTCGTCGGGGCGAATAGCCACAGATTAGGGTAACACTAGATTACCTAATTGCTAAAGACTACTAATATAGGAATTTTCTTCGTCATACAGTAAAGTTTTTTCTCGTAGTAATTCTGGTTTATAACTCATTTGGTAAAGGCAATATTACTACTGCCGCGAAACCGTCCCATTACACACTGAAGATGTTTTGTAGATAATATACACCTCTTCTTATAGTAGTTAGCAAAGTACTATATAATATATAGTACCGAACCAAAAAATGTGTTTTTCTAGGTTTGTCCGTGTATATCAGTCACATTGACTAATTCATTTCAAGAAAGTCTGTAACTATTATCTCTACCATTTATACTTATTACAACAAATTAAACTAAAATTCTAATTTTGTTCTTAACTTGCTTAACAGACATGAAATTGTGATAATTATTACTTTTTGTCATGGTAATTATGATGTTATAGCGCAATTGTATTACAAATATGGGTAAAAATAGAAAAATTGGAATAAATCGCAAACTAATACTAATAAGTATATGACATACTTAATAAAAGTTGAAGAGTTTTATAAAAGCTACCAGAAAAAATTAATATATATAATGTGTACCATTTAAAAAAATTGAAATTTCTTAATTTTAAGTAGTTGAAATTCATAAATATATTTTGAATACCCTGTAACATCTAACTAAAATATCTTTACATAGGTTTTTTTAATATCTCTATAAAATTCTCCTACCAAATTTCAGTTGTCCAACTTTAGAATCAATGTCATCATTGACAATTTTTTATCACACTGCAACCTAACCATTTGTTTAAACAAATTTAAATATAACAAAAACTATTAATTTTAGGTATATAACATTATATATAAAAAAGTTATGGAATTTTACGCATTTTAAAAATAAAATAAAAAATAGGGTGTTGCATTTAAAAAAACATATGTTATATTCGCCACACTTTTTTGAAGCACCCTGTATACGGTATAATAATTTCAAAATGTGTATCTTAACTATCTCTACAACTTTTATATTTAATATTTTTTTGTAAACCTCGAAACAAATGAGATAATGGACTTTACTCTATCGTTGACTCACCCTGTACATGGGTGAGGTTACAGGATGTTAATTTTTTTAAAAAAGAGTTCTTTTGTCGTTATCTGAAATACCATTATTTTTTAAGAAATTTGCTGTAGGTAGACTGTACATCAATGTTATGGATTCAAATAAAATTTAATAATAAATTAGGTCAAACAAATAATTTATTAATTTTATTTTTATATTGATTTTGTTAATTGTCATTAATAAAATTGCGTTTATCTCATCGAGTAGATCAAATGGTCAAAGTATGAAGATACAGCTTTTAATTGACATCAAACGGGCTACAGAATTTTGCTACCAAGAGGAAGCGCACATGTTTTTTTAAGAAAAATATTACAGTGATAACCCATATGCACGTCCCTGGTGAATATGTCCATACTTTATTAGTTTTAAAATATCTAGCATACAAAATCACTTTTAACCTCAAAATTTCATTCGAATAGATAAAATCACAAGAAGAAAATTATCATAAATCCAAAAAAAAACCTGTATCTACGAAACAAAGCAGAATCGGTCCTATTTTGATATAAAAAATAAATCTTATTTTTACGAGAGGAATTTTCCCACGAAAGATGGCACATGTTTTTTGATACACCCTGTATATCGATAATTACAACTATTTTTATTTAAGCAGTATCATAAAATAAAAATCAAAAATAAGAACATAAATATTTTAATTTAATTTTTAGGTATCGGAGGCTCTTGATAACACAAATTTTATCTTTTCAAATATATACTTTACAATTTTGTTGGGCGTTACTACACTTTTAACTCTTTACCACTTTTGGTTTCAATCTCTACGATATGTCAAACTCGCCAAAACGATTCCCGGACCCCGACCATTACCAATATTGGGAAATGTCCTTGAAGGAGTTGGTCTTAACCCAAATGGTAAACTTAGATTTATTACCTATTATTTACATATTTTTTTACACATTACCAATAATCTCAAACATGCTTATCAATAATGTTAGTGATTATATGATTTTCTACAGTTTTTAATTATTTTTTTTAATTAACTATTAATTCTTCTTAGTAGATTAGTTTCCATTTTTATACTCGAAAGTTTAAACAATTAAAAAATGTTAATCCGCAAACTTAATGGATACTTAATTGATTTTGTTTCATAATAACTCTGATGTTCTCTTTATGAAACTTACCCGTCTTCTCTGTCCATACGGGTTTTGCATTGAATATTTTTGATGAAAAAATTGAGCGCCACTGTCTTCTCTTAAAATATAAATTAGTTTAAAAATTTCTTTTCGTTCCTAATAGTATATTGTTTTATTAGGAGTAAAAATGATAAATACTTTGGTGGCGAGGCTGTACGTTTGATATTACAGGCGAGGCACAAAAGTTATTTTTACTCCGAATAGTACATGCTATTTTGTTCAAACGTCACAAATATTTTTTTAAACAATTTTAAACGTTCCATATAATATAAGAAGATTTAAACGTAATAACTTATAAGTAATTACGAAAATCTTATGTCTAGGCGTTAAAATTACTTTTCTACATTGTCAGTAATGTCGCAAAAATTAATACTTTTGTGACGTTTCAAAATAATGTTTATCCTAGATTTTTTTTGCCCGGCGCATTGTTTTTGCTTTAAAAAACTAAAATAATTTTACTACAGGTACACACCGATAAAAGAAAAAGAAAAATGTACATCAAAAATAGTACATATTATATTTTAGAAGAAAGAATTTATTGGGCAAGTCTACAGTAAGATTAGCCATGAAACATGACTAAAACATGACTACACGTAGACACTCAGTGTTTCTGTCTTCCGGCTTCAGCAATATGGTAGGAATCAGCAACGATGAACTAGTGATCCTGAAAAAAGAAAAAGGGGAAGCAAACGAGGCACAAGGCACTATTTGCAGCCTGGTTAGGCAGTAGCTCACAATTCAAAAGCGTGACCACCGGAAAACCGCTGCAGAGGCATTCCAACACACCTCGCCGCTATCACCTTGGCCCAGAGAAAACAATAGACAAAAGATGTTATCGTGGAGACTATAATAAAAAAGAAAAAAGGAGGAATCAGCAACGACCCGTATTGATGAAGCCGGAAGGCAGAAACACTGAGTGTCTACGAGTAATCATGTTTTAGTCATGTTTCATGGGTAATCTTACTTTAGACTTGCCCAATAAATTCTTTATATATGTGATATATGTGATGTTTGAAAAAAATAATTTTATAGCATAGAAGATCTATATCAAATTTCATTAAAATATCCAGAATATATTTGGTTTTAACTTTTCGGAATTTGATAAAATTCTAAACGGCATGTTATTAAGCATACTAGTGCACAAAATTGTACCATGTATACATATTATTTCCTAAATTAAACTTTTGTTAGTTGTAAACGATGGCGGCAATGTGTGCTAATTCTAATCTATTATAAATACTTTCAGCTGCAATGAAAAAAGTTTTGTCAGTAACCAACGATTACGAGGGTGATGTAGCTAGGATCTTTTTTGGGCCATTTCTATACATAGTTCTACGAAATCCTGAAGATATAGAGGTATAGTTAAAAATATACGTTTATTTTAAATTTATATATATTATTTACTTATGCAGCTTATCCTGGGAAGCCAAGAACATTTGGAAAAATCACGAGAATATAAATATTTTGAACCATGGTTAGGCGATGGACTCCTTATCAGCAAAGGTAATTTTTATTTGATCACTATTCAATATAGTATACCGTGTCCAATTTTAACGTGTTTTATGAGATAACATTCATTTTCTCAAAAGTGGCTCGCCACCCCTATATTTTTTTATTTTTTCAGATAAAAAACAAGATTTGGTATGTTAGTATATGACGTAAATTGGGATTGATTGACATATTCAATTGTTTTTGGTCACTTCCTGTTTTACCGGAAATTACTACAATTTTTGATTTTTAAATGGAAACCCGCGGTATTTTAATCTATAGAAAATCACTCTGAATAGAATGATATATCATGTGTCAAATTTTAACAGCTTTGTATATGGTTTATATGGAATTGTAATATGCTCTTCATAACGACAATTTGACTCGAAATACCATTCGTGATACCAAATTATTCGCAAATGTGTGATACCAAATTATTCGCAAAAAATTACTTTTTCCAAATATGCTGATGAGCCACTCTCGTTTCATTTGAAAAAATTGAGATTTGGTAAAAAATTACGATTTAAACTTGATTTTCATGCATCCGTTGTCCGACGATACGTTGATACGATATTAATTTTATTGGTAGAATTTAGAGACTTTGATTGGTTTGAAAATAACGCAGTTTTTAAATTTATTGCATATACTTTGGTGTCATTTTATATTTTCGTTTCCATAACGATTTTGCTATTTTACTTATATTTCTATTAAGGTTAGATAAAATTTGTCAAAAAAGTGTCAAAACGTCCGTTATCGTATGAACGTATCTGTTGACGGGCTGAAGTGTAATATTTACGGATGAAAAGTGGCGCGAAAACGCTATGACCAATCAGAGCACGTCGGACCATCGTATCAACGTATAAGGTAGTAGTGGGAACTATCGAATGAATACTATCGAAACATTCGATAGTTGCAATTCATTCGAATAATTCGATAGTTAGTAAGAAAACATTCGTTGAAAACTATTCGAATAAAAATTAGCGAATAGATCCGTCATCTGCCTTGAAATATTGTATTCTAGTAATTCGACAGCAAAAACCATTCATTTATAAAATTCATTCATTTATGAAATTCATTTATTCGTCAGGATCGATTATAATAAAATATTAACTGAATTTTAGTTGTCGCCCGGCGACGTAGGTTTCTTTCCGAGAAACCCGACAGCGGTCGGTGGCAATGCTATGAAAGAAGCCGGCATCTTTGATTTTTTGCGGAGTCAAATATAGATAAGGACACATTATTTTTTTTATTGAGGTGCTAGTATTTACACAGAAAATACATTATGAAGGGCACTGTTGCCATATTTTGGTATTATTTGATATTAGCAAAGAATATTATTGTTTGGCTTTAGTTAGTTAGGGATAGTATGTCTATATATTCTGCATTTTTTTTATTAACATTCTGTTGTTACACTGCAATAATACTTGTTATTTTGGAGGTAAGAAAATTATTTTTAATGTTTTTAAGCAACGACTGGTTTAATAAATAATAATAACAGTAATAATTTGTTATACCTATTAACAACAAAATTTAAAATGATTTAATATAAATATTTTTTTAAGTGGTAGCAAAATATAAACAACAAATTAGATGTCAAAATTATTTATATTAGATCCTATTTAAAAATAATATAGTCTCTAAATTTTTTGGCAACGTTGGTTTATTAAATAATAATAATTACAGAACTAATTTGTTATATTAACAACAAATTTTAAAATCATGAAATATAAACATTTATTAATTTTCTAAGCATGCAGTGTAATGGAACGAAAATATAAATAAAAAATTAGAAATCAAAATTATTTATATTAGGTGCTTTATATTTCTATTTAAAAATTATATTTACTTTTACTGGCATTTACTTTAAAAAATAAATGAAATATTTCTTCGCAAAAAAACTACATATAAGAGAATTAGCATAAACAAAATACAAACATCGTTAACTTTTTTTTAAAATTGGCACGTGTAAAACTTTCATTTTAATTTTCTCACCCCATAGTTTGAGTTCGATAACCATTTACTTAACCACATTACTTAAATATGATTATTAAGTTCAACTAATTCATATTATTAAAACATCTAAAATACAAATATGTATTTTTAAAATTAATTGTAAGTTCATCTCATCTCTCTTAAAAATTTCTACTTCTCAAAATTTCCCATTAAAAAATAGATCATATACCATATAAAATAAAATAATTGAAAGATCGGGCTACGGAAAATCACACAAATTTTCGGAAAAATTTTGACACCTGCACACGCACACAATCGACAATTAAAAAAACTACTATTTTTGTATTTTAAATATTTTAATAAACGCAAAAATAGCACAGTATTTATAAGGCGAAGTTATAAAAATTTGGAAGAACTAATAATGCACTGACGCATACAAAAATCAAACGAATACTAAATTTCATTTATCAAAAGCATTCGATAGTCATGGCTCAACGATAACCATTTAGTCGCACGGCGAGGTTGTCACATATGCTTTAGTATACAAATGAATGAATGATTTTATTCGAATAAAACCATTCGATAGTTGAAATCATTCATTCAGTAACCATTCGATAGTCTAATTCATTCGATGGTTCCCATCGCTAGTATAAGGATGCATGAAAATCAAGCATTAGGCATCTTTTAACTGGCCAGGACATGACACGAAAAATATTAGACGATCAAATCTATTTTTCAAAGGCTTTTTGATTAAAAATTAGTGTTTTTAAGACAGCCATAGGCCTCTAGATTGAAATTCAAATACGATTTTTTAAGCAAAAATGTCAGAAGTTGACATATGAAATGTCATTCTATTTAGACTGTCATTTTCAAAATTTGTCAAAAGTTGTAGTCAATTCTGATGAGACAAGAATTACCTGATTTATTTTTAACAAAAGAGTGAATAAATTAACAATAAATTTCGTAAAAACCAAAGTATAATCGCAAAGTAAAAAACCAAAGTAAAAATTTCGTACAATAAAAGTCGATTTCGTCACTTCCGTGATATTACCTCTTCCTAATTTAACTTTAGAAATTTTATTTCAGGCGACAGATGGAAACATCACAGGAAAATGATTGCTCCTACATTTCATTCGTCAATTTTAAAGTCCTTCTTTCCGGTATTTAATAAAAACGCTAAGAAGCTCTTGGCCCAATTGGACAAACACAAAGGACAAGTTTTCGATTGCCATGACTACATGAGTGGAACAACTGTTGACACCCTTTTAGGTATGTGAAACATGACTTTAATTAGACCTTTGAATAAGAAGACTAAGGAAGGAGCATTAATGCTATCCATGTATTCATGCATGGTGGGCCGAAAAAGCACTCTAGGGTGGGGATCCTTGACAGTTCTGTTTGACGATTCATTTGACACATTTCAATTTGATTTGAAATTTTGTGGATTTGTCAGTCTTTACGGAGCTTATTTTATGTTATTTATTATTTATTCTACTACTGATAGTTGTATAAAGGTAGTAAATCTAGATGGAAATTGTGGCAGAACTTAAATTAACAGTGATACTATCGCGATTTATCGAAAAAGACTCTAAAATAGTTGGTTGTGTAGCGTGCGGTAGATCTCGGCAAAAATTGAGTGAAATAATGGAACAGCTTTTCGCTAGTAAGTGACTATACAGGCCCGGCAATGGATCTCTAGGCATAGGAATTACATGCATTGGAATGAAACGCCTATAAAAAGTCTATGCTTAAACAGAGATGGACTTCAACTTCCCCGTTTCCACTTCCACTACGACTGTCTACTTAGACAAACTCCAATAAGATAACAAATTTTGGAAATTCCGCCACCTCCCATCCACTCATGATACCCATCTCCCTGCCCTTTATTTATCGCCATTATTTTATTTCCTTCCCGCGCCTCCGCACCTCGCTATTCCGACTCCCGTCAGTTCATCACAGAGTTGCCAGGTCTACCGGTTTCGTCTGTAAGCTACCGATCTACCGATTTAAAGAAAAACCCAACGATATATTCAACTGCGTCTTTAGTTTTTACAATAGAAGCACTTTTAAAAAGCTGACTTATTTGACTAAAAATTAAGCGACTGCCGCGTTGGAATCTATATAATCTGACTTTATTATTGTTTCATTAAATTTTATTTAGTAATAACAGACATACAGGTCATCGTTCTGTCTAGTTGCAGAGTTACAGAGATATTCCTAAAAATCCTTATTACTCCTTATTAGGCGCGGGATTGGCGGCATGCCCGAAGAAGTTGATATCTTTTGAAAAGATTTTATTTCATTCATCTACTAAAGTTGAACCCATATTTTCCCCCAAAAAATGTAAACAAAAACAAAATTTAAGTTAAGAAACAACCTAAATTCGGACAATATTTAGTGATTTTCCCGTCAAAAAAATTTATTAATATGAAAAAAGAGTTGAGAGTTGCTACAGCTTTACCATTGAAATGAAATTAATTTTAGATATCACTGATCAAAATTTGTACAAAGGTAAAAAGTGACTGTTACACTAATTTGTGACTGCTATCCCTACTTGTTATAGTTTTATATGTTTTTATTAATATATTAATATTATTTAATTCAATATTTTTTTTTAATATCAAATAATATACCTAGCTATTTCTAATTCTTGTTATATTTATTATATTTGTATTTTATTTGATGATCTATTATTACGACACATAGGAATGCTAATTTTGGACTTAAATATTATATTTTATTTCGTTTCTGTACTTTTAATTTTTGTTGAAGATCTACCGAGAATTTTGTTCTCGTATGGAATTATAATCTAACAAACCCGGCAACCCTGTTCGTCTACTCCTTATAAAGTTTTTTTCGGCCTAATTCCTTTGTCACAGCCGCGGCTTTGTGAAGCGCCGCCGCCGACCGACTGTGTCGGGGCGACTGCTAGGAAGATCGTACAGTATTGCCATTTCATAGAATTGCACTTGCTATTTTAGAAATGATATCAAAGTTTTGCATGTTACTTTTCGTTTTAGAAAGAAGTTATGTGCCTAGAGAAAACACATTCGTAAAATTGTTTCGTACTTTATTTAATATTTCATTAAGTAGGCAAGATAATGGGATTAGAAGATTTAGGATTTTGACAAGCCAACATAATTTCGATTTAATTGAATGGCAACACTGTCCGTCCTGTTTCTATTTTTTCGATTCTGTTCTATTAGTAGGCGGTAGCCCCCACACAAGCGTCTTAAAGACCCGCCCGGCGCACCCTCTCGCAGGGGCTCTCTCGTCGTATCACTTCTATGATCACTTCCCCTATACCATGGTAGGGAAAAGACACTTTATCCGTCTCTGTTGCACTGCAGTGTATTTTGCAGTCTTACCATCTTTTTTTATCGCATTGAAAACCTCCTATTGCTAATATTCCTTTGCCAGTAGTGTACAATATACATACGTGTAGTAAACCGATCACTTATGAAATTCACTTAAATTAACTAAATTATATATTTTTCTTGCATTTTAGCTTTTATTTACTACTTGTCAAAGATCAAATGTCAAAGAATTTAGAGACGTTAATTTGACTTACCTGCTTCAGTAGCGTATCGGATGTTTGTGTTAATAAATACTTATTATAACTACCAACATTTATTCACAACGTAAAATAAAACAACAAATTATTGAGTCTACCCCATGTCTACCCTACATCATAGTTTTACATTTTTTAAATAGAATTAGAACGACACTGATAAACCGGAATTTAAGTCGGCCATATTATTTGAGGCCCATCGCGATGTACCTAAGATTTTTGATGTGCTCCTTTCTTAGTCTCCTTATTCAAAGAAATAGACCGATAGCTATTTTCTTGTTTTCCATTATTGACATTTGTTGAAAAAATAGATAGACGGATATTTATTGATTAACAAAATAACATTATAACATTTTGAAAGCTCTAAAATTCGTTTTTTTTATTGGAATTTGTTTCTTTGAAAGAAATATAAAATTATATAATTTTCTATATTTCAGTATCTTTCAATTTAAAATAACTTTAACAACCACGCATATTGCTGCTTTACTTTCGTGATCGTACGAAAAAATACGTGCGAACGTGCTGTTGATTCATAAAAAATGTCGATTATTAGATGACTGAAAAGTAGAACCTAAAATCGTGTCGAGAAATCAACAAAAATAAAAAAAAAAATGTATTAAAATAAAATAGAGATATAATATAATTGCCATAGAACTCAATATAAATTTCTAATACCAAACTTTTCTTAAAAAAAAAGATGTGTCCTTAAACGTGTCCGAACTATAAATATTCAAGAAGGAACTAAGTTACAATCTCTTTGATCTTTTTGTACTAGAAAAAGTCAAATTTTACCTACAAAGAAACTACACAAAGTGTAGTTTTATTGCAGTAAGTGTTATTTTTAAATGTTGGAAGTAAAGCTGGCCATTCTCTTAGCATTGGGTAAAATATCCTGTAAATTTAAAACATTCTGTATCTTTATTCATTTCAGCCATTTTTTTGTTTCGATCTGTAATCTGCTTTTTTTAAAGTTAATTTGTTTTGAGTAATTACTCTTGTTAATTTCTGTAACATACCAATCAATATCAATTTCTTCCTTTTCAACGAAACGTGTTATAATAATTTCTTTATCTACTAATTATATACTCGTGATTTGGGGGCAATATTTTTTTTTGCAAAATATTATTTAGTACTATATTCTTTGGTAGACATCTTGCACTTGCAAATTTTGCGATCTTGAATGCTGATTACGAACAACCAATCAATAAATTTCGCAATATCGTCTGCTGTTTATAAGAGGAGCTAAGGCAGTTAAAATTTGGAATAACGGATGTTATTTATAAGACGGATTTGCGATATCGTATGCTGCGATATCGAGTCGCGATCATGGACGTTGTTTACAAATAATATGCAGCCGGGACCCCATTAGGCAACATGCCACGCCACGCCATGCCACTCCGCGTCATGAATTACATGTGTTGTTTAAGTTAATTAAATGTGTTGCGTACACACATGAAATCACGCCCTCCTACGCCACGCCATCCCACCCTATCACACGTGTGATGGACGATTTGTCTGTCCCAGATCTCATGTGTACACTCTTTCCCACGTCGCAACACGTGGGCTCACGTGGGATAGTGTGGCATCGGGTGGCGTGTGGCCTAAGGCTCCACGCGCACTGCATCGGATCGGACCGACCATCAAAAGCGACTGCGACCATCGTACATATAGACGGCGCCGGCGTCCACTAAAACATTTCGGCCTGTAGAGGCCAGATTCCTACCTCTACCTATCTACGATAGTCGAGACATCGCCTTCGCCGTTTCTCGCCGGCCCGATCCAATTTTCGCTATCCGAAACAGCGTTACATCACACAAACCTTTTAACTCAGTGTTTTATAGTTTCAATAACTGCACTATTAAAACCTGAAATACTTAAATATTATGAGAAAGCCATAAAAATATTTTTTTAATTTTAAATATTATTTCAATGCAAACAACATGTGAGAACTGTGTGAAATACAAAGCCGACAACTTCTATCAAAAAAAAAAGTCTGCCATATCCTATAGCTATAATTTTTGTACCAAATTAGACGAATGATTATAATAGTCAGTTGATATAAGACAATAAATTCAATTTGTATACAATTTGTTGTTGACAATGACCAGTAAAATTATAACTTTTTTACTTCGATAAAAAAGAGATTTCACCCAATTATACTAGAATATCTATAAGTGCAAATATATTATACCAAATACGAATAGTTCAACTTATTTTGACAAAGAGTAGTATGTATAATGATTAATATCTAGTCTAAAAGTACTGAATGAAACTTTGGAGTGCCAATTTCACTGAAAATATAACTGCGTACATAAAAGAATTATTGCAGAGACAAAATGCAATATTTCAATATTAGGTTATAGGTGCACGTCTGTACCATTAGTAAAACGTGATCAAACGCCTAAAACTGATATGTCGTATAATCGAATAAAAATGGCGTCGTACCGTAAAATGGGGGCGAATAGAAACAGTTTCGTAGGCTATTAGCGATATACCGGTTGATAAAAATGTGGTATTATTTTCCCGAATATTTTAAAACATGGGTCTTTGTTTGTTCTTTGCGTATACATATAATTTGATTTTTGAAAAATATGCATATAAATATTAAATAAAAATAACATTTGTGTTTCTATTCACCTGCTATTCGGGAGAATAGAAACACACATTGATGTTAAGGTTTTTATCTATTATACTTCCAACAAGGTGATTAGAAACAGTAAATTATTACATATTTAAGTAGGTTTAACAATCATTAACAATACATATAATATAACAACTTACATGTAACAGCTTATGTATTACTTTAAAAATAAATATTTTATTTTCGCGCCATACAAAATAGGTGATAAATCGATCTCACATTTATTGATCAGTTGATTGACAGAAACAGTGCTGCCACAGATAAAAATATAGTTTTTACATTTTATTGTGTATTACCAATGATAGAAAAATTAGATATGTCGACTCTCTTTACGTTGAATATTTTTAATCGTGATTTGATTTTTTTCAGAAATTTTGTTTCTATTCACCACTATGTTTCTATTCCCCCCATTTTACGGTACTGTAGAAATATATATATGACTTCAGTTTATTCATTTTATATCCTTTCTATGACTAGTTAAAGTTTATGTAAAATATTAACTTTTTCATTATACAGGATGGTCCGAACTGTATTCCGGAAACTTCGGCAGCATATTCTGCAGTTAAATATAAGTAAAAAAGTTCTTCTCTTCTTGGTAAAAATCGCTACGAGCAACTGTTCTCAAGATATTTAAAATGGAAATAGTCAATACATGTCATTATGGACAAAAATTGAAGACGATGAGTAGATAGTTATGTATTTCATTGAAAGTAAATTTGGGAAATTTTTATTTTTTTTAATTAATCATAAATTTTTCTTCAAAAAAATGATGGTAAAACAGTTTCTATTGATTTTTTGGTACAAAAACATTTCAAATTTAGGATTTCAGTCCAATAACTATTTAGTCGAATCGAATTTCGATTCCAAATATCTCGAGAACCATTACGCGTAGCGATTTTTATCAAGAGACATTTTTTACGTAAAAATTGTGGTACATGTATATTTTTATTCTGAAGTTTTGACAGTTACTGACGAAAAGTTATTACACTTCAAACCAGTTAAAAATATGTGAGTGGCGTCTTCTACAAGTATAGGTAACATATTGACATCAAAATCAAATTTCTCATTTCGAAAAACCACCAGACACAATTTTAATCCAAATATTTTTGTTCCTCCTGAAATTATTTGGAAAAAAATCGAAGCCACCTTCTATCTCCGACACTAAGCATTTCAGTACATATATTTACACGAACTTTTTTACTTATTCTTATCTGCAGAATATGCTGCCAAAGTTTCCGGAATACAGTTCGGACCACCCTGCATATCATAGAATTAAATTGACTTATTCTGTAATGATGTATACTATTTTTTTATTGTTGTTTCTTTTCTATTGTTAGAAACTGCAATGGGTGTTGAAAGAACACACAAAGATAGTAAAGGATTTGAATATGCAAAAGCCGTTATGGAGTAAGTTCATTTAGCAAGTAAAATATTTAACCTCTATAAATAAAAATTTGGTTTTAGTATGTGCAATATTCTTCATTTAAGACATTATAAGTTTTGGTTAAGACCGGATTTCATATTTAAATGGACCAAGCTGGCCAAAACCCAGGAAAAATTACTAGAAATAATACACAACTTGACCAGAGAAGTATGTATAATCTAAAAATATTAAAATTATTTAACACTAGAAATGCTTAATAACCCCATAAATATTTCTGAAGGGTTAGTTATGTATATCGCTGAAATTTAGAGTAAAAAATGTAATGTTAAGTGATGGGAAATACCGCTTCCACATGAGAAGCGTGACAATAGCAACCATTCGTGTTCCGGAGAAATACCACGATTTTTTAACCGATGTTCCGATTTCCAAAGTGTCGCTGTTCTCCCCTATGCGGTATTTCTGGTCACTGTAATACTCCCATCCCTGTCGTTATCTCCATTTTTTCCATTTTGGAAATAAGGCTTTCCATTTTGAAAATAAAACTAGTAAATAAATAATATAAAATAATATAATTTATTGGTATTCAATATTTTTTTTATTCGCCATCTTTTCTTCAGACTGAAGAATAGCTTTCTAAAATTTTTATATTTTTGCCGATAATATTTACCTAAATTTATATTATTCGGTTACACGTTATAACCGTTACCGGATTTAAATTAACATTCATACATTTTAAGATAATTATAATTTTCTTAAAATCTGTTTAGTTTAGAATTATTTTAGCTTAAACAGTAGAAAGTACTTTAATATTAAAATTACTTTATTGCCGTAAGTTGGTAAAATGTAATTCTCTTTCTTTGCAGACTATATAACTCTAAGTGTGAATATAATTTTAATCCATTGAAAGTAACTTTACAAGTTTCCTTTTCTTCGGTAATATTTATTCTTTGTTTTTTTTTTCTTATTATTTTAAAATGCTATTATATTATCAATCATAAATGCTTAGTACCTAGACCTAATCGCGATCTCGAAGGTAACGTAAACACTGTAAAGAAAGCACAATGGTCGACAGACGAAAACTTGTCCCTAAAAGCGATCCAACAGTCGCGCGACAAGCGAAGCGAAACACGTAGAACACGTGTCTTCATTTCATAACCATCTAGGTCGTTACCAGTTACACCTGTTCGCGATAGACGAAATCGTGACTCTAGAAGCGTCACGACTGTAGCGAAACACATCGGTAGCGAAACACTGCGGTTTGAGCCAAATGTAGGAGCGATTAAAAATAATTTATTTACCAATTATAAATCATTTATAATTTCGTCGATTATGATCGGTCGTTCTTCAGTAACAGGTTTCTGATTCGTTGTGGAGCGCGATACGACGTTACAAAAAATACCGCTACAAAATTGCGTTACTAATACACACACATCATAAATTTGAAGTACCTAACTTAAATGCTGGCGAGCCGTTAAATTATAGAATATAAATGATACTTTTTTGTAACTTCCTCTATACAGGGTGATGCCCAAATCGTTCGATAAGTAATGGTCGGCAAGCGCAAATATTTTTGCATTTGGGGTAGTATTTTTCGACCCCAGAAAGTGAGATTTTTTTGGCAATCTTTTTTTTTTGGAAATTTTGATTTTTTTTTTAAATATTTTTGGATTTTTATAAATTTTCATAAAACTTGAAACCTCATAAGACTTGTTTCTGCTAGTTCATTGAAAAAATGTATATTCTAATAATTTAAAAAAAAATCTAACCATATCAAAATTATTTACTCATATTTAATACTCAACAGAAGAATATTAATGTCAAAAAACTTACCACCAACAATTGCTCTTTCCATTTTAGATAGTATTAATGACATATAACTTTTTGCACGGAATATCCAAATTAAAAACTTTATTCATGAGCAAATAACACGATTATTTAGTTTAGTTTGTCAACTATACTACATTTTCAATCAAAATAACAGTAAATTCGCAACGACCTTTGACATATTTGTTAATGAAATGTTCTTAGCAACTATTTCAAAGCCTACTGATGGGGTTTTTGACGCCGCTTAGCCTCATCAGATTTTTTAATATTTTCCTGTTAATTTTTAAAAATTGACCACAGTGTAGCGGTTGCTCACAATTGTAGGTTAAATTGGCATTTCCTAGTAATTGTTAACATTAACTGGATTTGTGATATTATATTACAGTAGACGATTTCATCTTGATGTAATAATATTGTTTGATTTTTAAAGGTTGCTAAATCATTAAGTTCCTTGAATTATTCGAAATATTTAATCATTTCTAAATTTAGGTTATTAAAAGAAAGAAAATCGATTACTTCAGTCGAGTTAAAAAAGGTGAAAACAGTTTATACAAAGAAGCGGTTAAGGTTGAAGAACAATCGGAGAACATAAAGACTGAAAATTACAAATATATTCATGACGATTTGGAGGACATTGAAGACAAAGATATAGGTCAGAGTAGTAGTGGTAGTAGTTTAAAGCTAGCATTGAAAATTAAAATTGTTTATTTACAGGTGAAAAGAAAAGATTAGCATTTCTGGACTTTATGATTGAAGCCAGCCAAATCCCTGGTAACAACTTATCAGACGAGGATATTAAAGAAGAAGTTGATACCATTATGTTTGAAGTAAATGATGAAATTATCAATATGAGTATTATTATTAATTACGCACTGGCTAAGCAATCGATTGCGGTATTATTAATGTATACAATAAATACAATCATCCGGCGGCATGATATTTTTAGATCTGTAAATACTGGCGGAAAATTGAATTAATTTGTCGCTGACGACGCGCGGCGCCACTCATTTAACTCAGCAGAGAAAATCCTTCCAAAGGGCGTCGGCGGCATACTGTATTTTAAACATCAAATACTGCCGAAATGATAATCTAAACTAATATATTTGCATTTTATTTTTTAGATGAATTGAGCTGTTGTTGATATTTGACAATAATTGCAAAATATTCAAACATTGCAAAACATAAGATTTAAAATCAAAATATCCAAAGCAATAAGATGCGCAATAATGAATCAGAAAAAAATGAACGGAGCTACAGGTGCTCTTGCAAAATGCTTATCGCTAGGCATTACTTTCCGCCGACATCAACGATGTCATAATATCTATTAACGGCATTTTAGTAGGTTACCGTTTAACAGCTGTTTAATTACATCGTAATAAATATGTATAACCATCAAACGGCGGTCTTTGTTTTGTTAATTGCTTATACAGCCGGCTGCGCAGCGCGGCGGTGCGGCGATAATTTAGTCAATTTGTAATAAATAATAATATTCCACATAGTCATTAGAAAATATTATTAAAAATATGTTTAAAGAATTGTTCATAGGTATTTTTTTCTTTATCAGGGACACGATACTACTGCAGCAGGATCTAGCTTTGTCTTGTGTTTACTGGGGGTCCATAAAAATATACAAGATGCCTGTGTAAACGAATTGAAGGAAATCTTCCACGACGACTGGTCGAGGCCTATAACGTTTACAGATACGTTACAAATGAAATATCTCGAACGAGTTATTATGGAAACTTTGAGAATGTATCCACCTGTACCAATCATTTCCAGAAAAGTTCGAAAAGATGTAAAACTAGGCAAGTAAAATTTATTTATTAATACTTATGTATGTAAGCTAGGCCAGTTAAATGAATAAGATTTATTAGAGAGGTCACTTGGAAAAAAGTGTTGGAAAGCTAATTATTGATTTGATCGGTTCGTTTGACGTGAAAGATAAGCTTTCTAGGTTTGCATGGTTGCACGACTCCGCTCAACTCAGGAGGGCCAAAATATGGAAACGTTCTTAGACTTTTTCCAGATTTAGCTTATAGTTCCAAAAAAATTCTTGGACTGTATGTACAGGGTGTCCCACTAAGAATAGCTCTCGGCTGTATCTCGGAAAGTATTAGCCGTAGCGGCTGCGGAACTCGCAACCAAACCAAAAACATTTATAACTAAAGAGACTATGGGAAATTGCTGGAAATTATTTTCAAATTTGTAGAACAACCGCTAGGGGGCGCAACTGCAACAAAAAATAAGAAAATGGAGTTTTTACACAATTTCGACTGGATAAGGTGCACTATAAGTAACAGCTTTATAATTTTCAGTAAATTTTGAATATTTTTTGTTAGAGCCATTTTCCCCTATCTACCAAAATAAAGTGGTGGGGGAAGGTTAGATCTGTTTCTATTTGAATATTAATAACTCTAGACTGGATGATCAGAATCCAACAAGCGGGGCTCGTTTAAAAGAGCGTTTTTTACTCTATATTGTACAATATAACAATAATAATAAGCTTTTAAACGTAGACGGTAGGGGGCGTTGTCTTACAATTTAACAAACATTGCGCGTTTTTTCAAAAATATTAAATGCAATAGTATATGTAATTTTAGCTGATAGTAAAGAGTAGTAAAAGCTTAAAAAGTCAGCAAAAACCACATCTTCATATCTTCTTTCAAACCGAAGATATTAGCAAAATTATAATAAATACCAAAAAATAAGCCCTTAATTACCTTATTTTTACAACACGGTATCAATCTCTTGATTATGCCCATTCTAACCTAAAAATAAGATAGAAACAGTTAGTTTATTTTAAAATCGACGATATACCAGAATATCATAATACCAGATATATTAATATCTAATAATTAAGATATTAATAATAGTGAACAAGAATGGTAGGCTTTGAAAAAAACTTGCTTTTGACGTAATAGTATAAACGTCAAATTGTTATTGGATCAACATTTTGACAGACTTAGCAGCGTTTTTTTATCTTTTAATTGCTTTTTCAAAATGCCAACTACTTCATATAATAAAGGCATTTTGAAAAAGCATTTAAAAGAAAAAAAAAACGCTGCTAAGACTATCAAAATGTTGATCTAATAACAATTTGACATTTATAATATTACGCGAAAAGCAATTTTTTTGCACTCTATCTATCCAATCGACACAAAGTTGCACGAATAAGCTTTGATTGCTTTAGTTTCAGCTTTTTTATGATTTTTTTTAATACGAATTTTATTGCTTTGAATGTGTGCGCATTTGATTTTAAAATTGAATGTCCCACGTCAAATTTTCAGTCAGCTGCTGTATAGATCGGCTTTGATCGTAATTTTTGGAACAGTAGCTTACTGATAGCGCCTAGAATTACGCCATGAACCACAAATTTCCCCCGGCACTTTCAGATATTGAAGTTGTTCTTATGTGTAGTTATATTATTATAAAATTAAGTATACTAGGCACTCTGTAATCGTATACGCAAGAATGTAATAGTGCTTGTTTTTAATTTTTGCAATATAATGAAGTCACAGCAAAAGTTGGGCGTGCAAGAAAAAAATATATTGAAAAAACCTAGTGACTATGAACTTGCTTGAAGTATTGAGTGTGAAAAAACGAATAACTTCCGTTGAAGAAAATTTGGGCATATTTTATTTTGTCTACGTTGAAGAACTTTATTAAAAAAACCTTATACCTATGAGTAATGTTTATTAATGTTTTTTTTAAATTACTTATGTTTTCCCTTTTAATATTTAGAAGGTTATGTCGTTATTTTCTATAATTTTTAATAAATATACTAAAGAAGTAGATTGTAATTTTAAGATATGTGGATCATCTTGAATGTTGAGGTCATCCAATATTCTTAAAAGTTTTATTTGTTCTAACATCTACCAACATTCTTCCTCGCCCCACTCGCCCTGCAATTAAATAACTTTTACTGGCAACCTTTAGTAAAATGTTACTTTCAATAGTGAATGTTAGAAATTACTAAGAAAAGTCGACAAACCTCTTTAAAATACCACCTTCACTGGTCCAATGCGTAATTGTTAACATTTCCAAGTTAATGTTAACAATCAGTCACTGAATTTCAGACTTTCACTGTAACATATACACTAACAATACCACTGGCGACGGCGGTTGTTTAGCCAATGTGTATTTTAACTATATAGGGTTTGCCTTAAATAAGTGCAACTATTTTCATGGCTTGTAGATCTCGATAAAAGAAACATACTTTCTCTTTAGCGTTTTTCAAATAAGTCCAAAATAACCGAGTTTTACTTTGATCATTTCAAAAAAATGATTTTATGGGTTTTCTTTTTTCTAAATTGAATCTATTACCTATATTGCCATAGTAACAAGAAATTATGGGTTTTAACTAAAAACTATAACTATAACTATAAACTCCAAATTTTCATTTTTTTTTCGCGAAAAATCCTCATAATCGTGTTTCTGGTTTCAAAATTTACAACCCCTAAAAATATTTGCACTTATTTAAGACTCACCCTGTATATTTTAACATATGTTATTATTTTTAAACAGTTTAATAATTTGGCATGCCACCCCCTTTTGACTAGACTAAATGCATTTCATATATTAACAAATTATGATTTTTATTATCATAAATTTAATATAATTTTTTAGCTAGCGCCAATTACATCATACCTGCTGACAGTGTCGTTCTAATATCCCAGTATCTAACACACAGGCATGAACAGCATTGGAAAAATCCTCATGTGTTTAACCCTGACAACTTTTTACCAGAAAATTGTCAAAACAGGCACTATTACTCCTACATTCCTTTCAGTGCTGGTCCAAGAAGTTGCGTAGGTAAGCTTATTACAAAGGAATTACTTAATATTTATTTATAATATTATAATATTTTTTTATTATATTTTTCTTTACACAGGGTGGTGTGAACTTATTCCGGAAACTTTGGCAGTATATTCTGCAGGTAAACATGAGTAAAAAAGTTCGTATTGAAAATTCGTCTATGATTGTTTTGTATTGAAAATTTCACACCTCTACTTTTCAACCAATAACATGCTTTAATGTTGACTAGTTACCATGGCAACTGAAAAAATTTCCGGAAATTTTTTCGAGGCGCCACGAAACTTTAGTGGAAATTTTTTGACAGTTGAAAAGGTAAACATAAGATCTACAATCATAATGTGAATGAACTACAATGTCTATATATTGAAATATTACCCATTTGAGTTTTAGCATTTGATGTAACTAAGGTTGGTAATATTTTTTATTTAAGGAAATATGTTAGACTAGTGTGTACCCGCGACTTCGTTCGCGTCGGATTAACCATTTGTATTGGTGATGATCAAGCAAAGCAAGAATTTCCATTAACATACAAACTAAGATAAAATTTTCTTACATTTATGTCAGCATGAGAAAAAACAATATGGCGATATTATTATATAACTTGGTATAATATTTGAGGGGTAGTTTCATCTCGTTGGAATTTGACTTTCGAAAAATCCGTTTGCCAAAATAAGCTTTTTACGTCAAGCAGTTTAAGCAGAATCGTGATTAATCAATTACCCAACTTTTGGAACACCCTGTATGATTTTTTAAAAAATTTCAAAATATGTAAAAAAACAAAATCAATTATGCGTGTCCAAGTGTTTTCCCGAAAGGCTCGCCGTATTTAAAAAACAAATATTGTAATATTTGTGGGTCGTTTTCACCCGCTTGGAATTTGAAATTCGAAAACCCCCTCTTTATCGAACCTCTACACCCCACAGCCAATCCGTTTGCCAAAAATCAGCTGTAAACGTCAAGCAATTTAAGTAGAATCGTGATTACTCAATGGTTATATTTTATGAAACACCCTGTATAAATTTTTAAAAAACCTTAAAATATGTAAAACAACAAAATAAAATATACATGTTTAAGAGTTTTTCCAAAAAACTCACCGGTTTTTAAATAAAAAATATTCTAATATTTGAGGGTGGTTTCACCCCCTTAGAATTCGAGTTTCGAAAAATCCTTCTTATCGAACCTCTACACCCTAAAGTCAATCCGTTTTCCAAAAATCAGCTTTTTACGTCAAGCGCTTTAAGCAGGATCGTGATTAATCAATGACCAATTAATCAATTTTTCGAAACACCCTGTATACATTTTTTAAAAATCTTAAAATATGTAAAAAAGAAAATAAAATATACGTGTTCAAGCGTTTTTCGGAAACTTGACCGTTTTTAAATAAAATTATTCTAATATTTGAGGGGCGGTTTCACCCCTTAGAATTCGAGTTTCGAAAATCCCTTCTTATCGAACCTCTACACCCTAAAGTCAATCCGTTTTCCAAAAATCAGCTTTTTACGTCAAGCGCTTTAAGCAGGATCGTGATTAATCAATGACCAGATTTTTCGAAACACCCTGTATACATTTTTAAAAAATCTTAAAATATGTAAAAAAGAAAATAAAATATACGTGTTTAAGCGTTTTTCGGAAACTTGACCGTTTTTAAATAAAAATATTCTAATATTTGAGGGGCGGTTTCACCCCTTAGAATTCGAGTTTCGAAAAATCCCTTCTTATCGAACCTCTACACCCTAAAGTCAATCCGTTTTCCAAAAATCAGCTTTTTACGTCAAGCGCTTTAAGCAGGATCGTGATTAATCAATGACCAGATTTTCGAAACACCCTGTATACATTTTTAAAAAATCTGAAAATATGTAAAAAAAGAAAATAAAATATACGTGTTTCAGCGTTTTTTCGGAAACTTGACCGTTTTTTAAATAAAAAATATTGTAATATTCCACCCCCCTTTTTACCCCCTTAGGGGATGAATTTTTAAAAATCCTTTCTTATCTTACGTAAACATCATAAAAGGAACCCCTGTGCAAAATTTCAGCTTTCTAGGGTCAAGGGTTTGGTCTGGGCGTTGATGAGTCAGTCTCAGTCAGGACAGTCAGATTTATATATATAGATATACCTACATATGAATTTCTTCGAAATTGCCATGTTCTAAAAAATATAGTTCTGCCGCCTTTATTTAACTAAAGCTGGTATTTTTCTATTTAACGAAATATGATGGATATACACTTGATTTTGATTTTCGGGTGTTATCTGGTTTTATATTTTCAATTTCTTCTTTAATGACTTGTTGGTTTACTTTTCCAAATCGCGACATTTCGCTATACACTTCTTACTCTACGTACAGACGTTTTTAAAACTAGTAATAGCTTAATGACAGAATCGCAAACAAAATGACAAAACACATAATATGTCAAAAACATCAATACCTTGGCCAACTTAACAAATTGAAATTATTTTAAAATGTCATGTTGGATTAATATTTTTTTTTCAAATTTAGGTGTGAAATTTTCTTACCGAATACCACGCAAGCTTAAATTATTCCTGGAAATTTTCTTTCGGGCACGAATATTTTAGGAAAATTATCCCTCGTCTTCGACTCGGGATAATTTTCAAAATATTCGTGCCCTCAAAAAAATTTCCGAAAATAATTTAAGCTCTTGTGATATTATAAGTGAAAATTCGTCTATGATTTGTATGTTTTAAAATGATTAGTTTCGGAGATACAGGGTGTAGAAGTTTCATTTTTATTTCGATTTTTCCAAATAATTTCTGAAGTAACGTCAATATTTGGATGAAAATTGTTGTCTGGGAGTTTTTTAAAATGAAAAATTTGAAGAATTTGAATCTGAAATTGATATGACACCTACTTGTAGAGGGCGCCACCTATATATTTTTTAACTAGTTTGGAGAGTAATAACTTTTCGTCCTGTATAAAACTAATGACTTACGGCGTTTTTAACGTAAAAAAGGTATCTTGGTAAAAATTGCTACGAGTAATGGTTCTCGATATATTTGGAGTCGAAATTACCATTACCTGTCATCATTGACATAAATTAAATATTTGTTGACTAAGGGTGACTGCAACGACGTCCCGTAATCCTGCGGTTAAAACATATCAGCTAGTTTTTATATATAAAAACCAATTGTTATATGTTAACAGCAGGATTACGGGATGTCTTAAAATACTTTCTCGAAAACGTTGCTAGCTCTTAGACTATAAGCATTTTAGGATATACATTTAACTTTTTTACTTATTTTTATCAGTAAAATATGCTCCCAAAGTTTCCAGAATACAGTTCGGACCACCCTGTATGTGTATATATATTTTTTTATATTATTTTTAAATATCTATATCCTATATATCTATATATATCATAAAATTATATAAGAGTTTCTTGCCTTGAACTGCTAATATAGAAATTAATTCCACGCTGTGTTCGACGTAATGTGGATCAACCCATAAAATAATTAACTAGAAAGAAGTGTCAACTCTGTGTTAAATCGTGGAAACACGATACGCCACCGAAAACCTTCGTTGTCGTCTGGAGAACTAATTTTCCAATTGACAGGTTGACATGATAAGGACATGATGGCTTAATTTTCATTTCCGTTTCCGGTTATTCAATGGCGGGTCCTCTTTCAGTTCAAATGTATTTTGTATTTTTACTTTTCATAAATAAAACCAAAAAATTATTTATTCACATATATTTATTTGAAATATGGAACAACGTGACTAAACAAATATAAAAATATAGAGGATTGTATTGTTTCAATACCAATTAGTTAATTATATGTACTTTTAACGTAAATTAGTTAAGGTATAAGCATGACTTACAGTAATTTGTAAATAAACACACGTATTCGCAGACTTCAAGGACAGAAAACGGACACAGGAACATGAAAACGGGAGCCTTATACAAAAACCTGAAAACAGAAAAACAATTTTTTTTTATACTAAAATTAACAATGTAAAAATATCAATAGGTATAAAATATAAATATACTGTTTAAAAAAGCGTCCATTATTCCCAAAGAGGCCTGGCTTATAAATCAAAAAGAAGCAAAGAGACTTTTAGTCGGATAACATAATCAGATTATCAGTCCGATTTACTGCATTATTGACAATAAATCGCACATACTGGAGATAACTAATGTTGGCTATAGTTAAAAATGATCTTACCTTGCTGTAAATTGCTTCCATTTTCAGAAAAATCGCCGATCAAAGATATTATAATACCATTTTCTTGCATCTAAAAAATGTAAAAACAGTGTTTATTTACTACCTATTTTTCATATACATGGGACATATCTACTACTGCAGAAACGTCGTTTTCTCCAGAATTCTTCATGTAATATATATTTTATATACTTTATTACCATTATATTTATAAATTTCAGCCGAAATATTAAATTGAACTTCCAAAACGAAACTAAACGGAATGAATTAAAATGGCGTCGAATATTTTCGAATTTGTTCTAGAACAAATCTGAAGTTGTCTCTGAAACTAAAATCTGTCAATTCTAAACTGTGAAGTTAGACAATAGTTAGACAAAAACAATGCTGTCCTTGTCTAGGCGGCCATACTTGTCGTGAGGAGAATGACAGGAATGACACTAATGACTGTTTCCAATTTTCCTATTTCACTGTCACCCCCCTGGATCAACCTGCTCTCACTACCGGTTTCGATAGTACTACCATTGCACGCAGGCCGCTATCTCGCGATGTGGGCCTTAATATCTTACCGCTACTTTACGACAAGTCGTGTTTATATACTCTGCGCTGTGCTCGACATATTGTGGAAACGACACAAGCTCACCTGATAATGGGGTAGGGCCCCGAAACCGGTAGTGAGAGCAGGTTGATCCACATTATGTCGAACACAGGGTGGAATTAATTTCTATATTAGCAGTTCAAGGCAAGAAACTCTTATATAATTGTATACCTAAAAACTGCAAGAAATTTATTTTCCATTATATATCTATATATTGTCATTCATTTTAGGACGGAAATATGCAATGTTAAAATTAAAGGTGATATTAGCAAGTGTTTTGAGAAAATACCAGATCACGTCGCCAAACAAAGAATCAGAATTTGAACTTCAGGCAGACATAATTTTGAAAAGAACCGACGGATTTAATATCATAATCGAAGACAGAGTTTTGTAATTTCTATTTATATATATATATATATATATATATATATATATATATATATATATATATATATATATATATATATATATATATATATATATATATATATATATATATATAAACGACTAATAAAAATAAATTTGGGAAAATAATAAAGCTTTCAGTGTTTATCTAACTTTATAATGAACAGAAATCATATCATGCGATTTTTCTTAAATATAAGCTTAGGAAAATATAGAAACATAGAAATTAAAGAAGAAGAAAGAAATATATTAAAGGTTATTTTTTATATGCAGTTATCAAATAAAATTGTCCAAAAAACAAACCATGTCAATCAAACTCACACAAATTTTCTAAATCAGACCTAATATTCTTTAATTTATTTTAGTTGTATTTTTTTCTAAATTATTATTTCCCAATCACATTTTCTTTAGTTCCTTCCTGAGAACTTTTACAACGTTATAAAAATATCTTAAATGTATACTAATTTTTTAGTTTGAGGGCATGGCTAGATTGAATTAATAATATTTAAATTAATCTCTCTTAATTACACTCAATTCTATAAATAAAAGATTTTGCTAATGGTATCAAAATATTTCTTAAATAAATCTCAACTAACCATCTAAAATATGATGCCTCATTGTAAAACTTTGCGGATAACAAAATCTTTCAACTAGAATTTATGGTGTGTAATTAATCCTTCCCCAGGCATTAACTAAGATATAAAGAGAAGGATGTAGAAAGTGGTGAAAGGCACAGCCAGAAATACTTCACATATCATTTAACACAAATTATGATTAAAATTGGAGTTCGGAATCTTAATTAAGGATAAAGTGATACATTTCAGTAAACTTTAATAAACCGATGCTTATATATTTATTTAAAAGATATATGTGTTTAACACAGAAAAAAAAATAGTTATACTGGCTTGGAATCTCAAAGTAAACACGGTTCTCCATTGAACTTTAGTTGTAAACAAATTTGTCGAATCAACAAAAGCTATCCAGTAGTTTATATATATAGTAGCGAAAGAAGCTGAGAAACTAAATAAGAAATAAAATAATGTACATGTATACTTCATCCGAGGGCAACGGTCCAGCTATGTCGAATCACTGGTTTCCGATAAATCACCGAAGCTAATATCAATAATGGGGGATGGACGCCTGATCGTCTGGAAACTTTGTCGTGCTGTTATTCTATGGCAAGAGTATATAATTTATTGAAATATGTACACTGTTTATCCACGACGATTTGAGGCCGGCTAAGATCGGATATCTCGTGAGTCGATTTAAACACTCACCAAGGCCATTGACAACAATATGGTCAAGGACTGCGGTTCAGATTTTGTATAAAAAAGTAGGCCCTTAGCAGCAAAAAAATGGCGTTAACATAAAATACTATTCTTTTTATTTCACCCAATATAGAGAAAGAAATTTAATAATAACTTATAAAATAAAAACTTTTGTGTAAAAAAAGTGATGAATAACATATTATTGTATTAAGGTGAGGTGGGGTAAGAGGGAACGGGTTTTTGTTGAGATGATTCAAATTGTTCAATATTTGAAAACAGAGATTTGTTCAATAATTTTAAATTTCAAATTTGGGTTTTGTATTGCTTTAGAGACATAATCCACAGCCCCATACCTTGAGTTGACTAACATTTTTTGCAAAAATAAACAATTTTTTTAGTGAAATGTGTTCCCACTTTCCCGGTAACGGGGGTAAGTGAGAATGTCAGCAATGCATATCTATCTAAACGCGTATCAATCTTTCTAGGGAAAGTGAGAATAGTTAAAAAATAAAACAAATCGGCATCAATTTTGAAGATTTTTTTTAACATCTCAAATGAGGTAAAAGAACATATATGCAAAAATTTTACAATATTGTTGTTTGGATAAACTCACACTTTTTTGAGCCATGTAGAAGTTAAAATATTTTCCTGAAATACATCCTAATACATACTTTGCACTTAAACAAATGACTACAGATGCCAGACGCACTATTGCCGGAATTGCCTGTATATTAATAAAATGATAAACATAAAAGTTTGTGTAGAAGTTATTTACAAAAAATATCCTTAACTGCAGTTGCAAACCCTCTAGATGTTAAAGAAAACTAAAAGAAGAACTCTAGCCGAAAGTTATAATTTCTTTGCAAATACTACTGCCATGTTTATTCCCTAAAAGTAAATAGTTGTTGTAAATTGTCCATAGTAATTCACTTGACATCAACTATTTATTTTCTAATATGATCTGTTTGAATATAATATTCTAATTGATGTTTAGTAAATATTACATTTAAAAAAATTATTTTAAACTTAATTTGATTAAAAGATAACTATATACCAATAATTCATTTAATAAAATTAAAAGTCAAAAGCAAATTTCTTTTTTTATTAAATGTAGTGATTTGTGTAGTAATTTAGTGATGAAAGTACGTTTACGTACAAATGAACATAATAAATTGAAAACAAGGTGAATAAACCAGTTGCCTAATGCAAATTTTAATTTGAAATTGAAATACTCAATTTTTCGAAACTTTTTTGTTTACACGGTAATCAAAGTCGAAATACAAAAAAGCCAATAACCTGTTTTTCCTCTAAATTTAAAGATAATAATTTTAATAAATTCTCTTCAGCAGATAAAATTACTGTTATGCCTCTACACTTCTTTTTATATCAATATTTGCTAAAGCAAATAAAAAGATATAACCACTAACAAGATCCGGTTGCAGGATTATTACCCTCATGATGTTTTTAGCTAAAGCCCAATTTTTACGTATATTTATGAATAGGGGAATACACAGTTCAAAGTATTTCCAACTATTTTATACAGGTTCGGCAACAATGCGACACATACAGCTACAGCTCATATAATAAAAAACAGGAATTTTTTATAAGTGCAAACCTAAGGTACATACCTTATGTTGCTTAGTTAATGCATTACAATGCAATGCCATGTATTGACATGATAAAAAAAACTAAGAATAAAAAAAATATAAATAATAAACTAAAATAAAATACTCAGGAGACTTGGTTCTTACCGTAAAATTATATTTTACGAAAATTTACACATGAAATTATTGCACAGATTGTTTTAAAATTAGGGTAATTAAGGGAAAAAAACAACTCCTCGATTAACCCCGTACAATTCCTCCATGAGTTCTCCGTGATTTCTTATGAGTAAGTTTTTTTTTGCATTTGAGTGTATATATTTTTTAGTATTGAAACTTAAATTATATGATATTTTATGGAAATATAAATAGGAAAACATTTTAGAACATTTTCTATACGTACATTCAGAACTTCGTAATTTAGTCTTTGATATCATTCGGTTTAAATTATGTAGGGTATTTCCGATGCACCGAAAAGGAAGAAATTTTAGGAAACATACACGTGTCATGTAAATCCGATTAACTCACAGAAAGTTCGGCAAAATACTCAAATTTACGGATTTAATTTGCATTTTTTATTAGTCAAAGTATTTTTATTTTAATTTATATATTCATTTAAATTTCTTCGAGTATGTAATAAATTGAAACTATTTACTTTGCGTGTATTACTGAAATGTTTGAACATAATTTCATAGATAGCAGAATTAACTATAATTATAATGAATGTGTAATAATATCATGCGATCGAAAATAAAAACGGCGTCAAAGACGGCTGGGAAATGACAATCGATGATAATTTTGACGACGTCAAGCCCTAGACTTCATTACATGGTTCGTGCTCTTCTTTATTTTTTAACGATGCTTACTGCCAGTTGGCCTTAAGAAGGTTGTATCTTATTTTTAACTGGATAAAATGATGATTTTTAAATAGTGTAGTTTAAAATTCGAAAAAATATTTTTTTGGAAATAAATTTGTGTTTCTGGAAACTGAGCTGGAAACCCTCTATCCTTTTTAACCTTTCTATACTTAGTATTAATTTTTGATAAGTTTTATGTCATTTTTGAATAAATGACGTATTATTATAATCGATATTGTTATTCCGCAGCCGTCTTTGACGCCGTTTTTTTCGATCATACGGTATTCATCAATTAATTCCAATTATCTTTCTGCAAATTACGAAATAATTTAGTTTTTGTGCAACATTGTATAGACCCTTTTACTTATGAAAGAGGGATAATTCATCATAGATACAATGTCCGTATTGTCTGCAGATGCCGGACTCCTACGAGATAAAAACGGCTTTCGTTCCTATTATTACTTTATTTTTTGGAAAGCGCCCGCTGGCATAACTTCAAATAATAGATAAAATATATTCTATCATGACCTTTTTGGGATTATTGTATCTAAGATTAAGAAACTCCGAACAAGAAATTCAATCTCTCATAAATTTGGTTGTATTTCATAGATACAACCACAGAACATTTCTTAATATATTTGAGTAAAACTTATTTTTGTCGAATACGAATATATCAGACGCGGTTTTTGTCATAAGACAGATAACAGAAAAATCAATCGAATATAACAAACCAGCGTATATGTGTTTTATTGATTTAGAAAAAGCGTTCGACCGTGTGCAGCTAAGAGACGTTGTACATCTTCTTTACAATAGGCAAATCCCACACAACCTCGTTAAAACCATACAAAACATATATGAAGCGAACCAAATTCAAGCTAAAATTAACGGGGTCCTGACCGAACCAATAAATGTACGCTGTGGTATCCGACAAGATGACTCCCTGAGCCCTCTTCTTTTCAACATCATTATGGACGAAATAATAGGAAATGTACGTTTACTGAAGGGATACAGTATGGGCGACCAGGAAATTACTATTCTATGCTATGCCGATGACGCCGTATTGGTAGCTGAAAAGGAGAACAATCTACAGCGCTTATTACATCGATTTAATTGCACTGCCAAATCACTTAATATGATAATATCGACCCAGAAAACTAAATGCATGACGACATCAAAAGTACCACTAAGATGCAAACTGGAAGTCGAGGGCAATGTTATTCAGAAAGAGATGAAGTTTAAGTATCTAGGCATAGAAATCTCAGGATATGGTGATATAGAAGCAGAGATGCG